CTGACTGAATCCGGGAACACCATAACTCTGAGAGGGAGACGCGTTCCTCGCTTGTGGAGGAAGATACCTGGAGATATTATTAATAATGAAATTAATATTTAATATATTCAAATTTGTAATATTCAAATCCTTTGGAAATATTTTAGACAATGAAATATATCTATAGATAAATTCTTTATATATTCTTTTCTTACTATATTTTTTAATGTTACCTGTTATTATTAACTGGTGGCTCTGCCAAACACGACACCACAAGTAACGAACACATTATGAAACACTGAAAACAATATGACATTAGAACATATATTACAAATAAAATAATTAATAATATTATGGTTGATTAAACGTCACACCTTCATTTTGTTAAATGAATCCTTGATTTCGTGAACTTGTACGTTCTTTTAATATATGATTAGTTATTGTTAGTGCAGCTGTTACTAGATATGTTGTTGTGTGTTCAATGATGCTGGACGATGTATCGATCGTCTTATATACTCCTCGATCTGTTAACACTTTTAAGATGAACGTCTTGAATTGTAGCAACTGAGTGATGTTTACTCCATCTACAGATCCAAAAATAATAAATATTTTAATTTAAGTATTTATTTAAAACACACACATTAGGTTTACATTGGTTTAAAACAATATTTAGAAAAGAAAAGCTTATGGTACATAGTGCTTTAATTTTTTAAGTCTGTTTATTACTAAAAGAAATATATTTTACGTATAATAGAGTACATTTCAGTCGTGACCAACACAACATAACGACCGCGTGGTATGCTCTACTTAAACATCTCTTAATTTCAAGGACATTTCTTTAACAAATACGTGTTAGATAAGAGTTCATGTTTTAATTACAGGTGATTTAACATATTGTTAAAGAAACTTGTTTTGACTTAAATAGTGAAAGAAAAGTCAAAGACAAAAATGTAAATTCGTTAATATGTCCATTGTATCATTGTATGTGTGTCATATAAATGTTAAAACCTCGTTTATTGCGTTTGATTGATCTAATATATTTTGTGTTATCAAAAATTAATATAATAAAATATGGATTTCAATTGAACTTGATAGAATTATGAGCGATCTTTAATTAATTATTAACAAGTGGAGCCAATTTAATAGCATTGCATTTATATTTGATGCGTGATGTTTTAGAAGGTAAGTTTTATTCATGAGTGTTGTGAATTGTATTTATAATAATCTATGTCCATATCGTGTACATTCCAAACTCATACAAATATATTATTATTGCTACCAATAGTGATGACAGAGCAAGGTCTACTGGAAGCTTGAGAGAAGTTTCATTCTATGGCTCAATACACTTTACATTAGTTTCTTAATACACTCTATGATTATTCAAGTACATATGTAACAGACACTAAACTAATTTTTGTAACGTAATGTATTTGAAAAACCAAGAACGATCTCTGCTGAATAATAAAAAACGATGAAGAATAATTACTATCGCATTTCAAGAGAACAACTCGTTTAATATTCATGAAACATGGAAAATATATAATAATGATACAAATAAGGATTTACCTGTATATCGCAGACTATTTTGATTATTTTTTTTATCCCAATAAATAGAAGCACTCGCATGATGTGACAAGAGGTGGATTTAAACTACATACTGCTAGATTGTTAAACATTTTTCACCATTACTTTGTGATTTTATAAGTAAAAAGACTGAATTGTAAATGAGGAATAGAAACGGTTATTAAATGTGTCACATAAATTTCTATCCACCTCCTTGTGTAAAAGAATACGAATAGATAGATAAAAATAGTGGAATGTGTGGAAAAATATTAATAAGAATTGTTTTCAATATACAATAACTTAAATAACCTTTCATTTGCATCATTTTAGGATAGATATAAGTTTAAATTAAAATTAGAATAAAACCTAAACTAAAGACAATCTGTATTTATTTAAATTAAAGATATTTTTATGAAGAATATTTGACAGCAATAAAATAGTAAAATGAACGTTATCACTGTCAACCAATCAAATGGATGTGGGTTTTTTTTGTTAAAAGCGCGTATGAATTAAATTCGTGTCTATATTTTGATCTCCTTTTGATGTTAAAGAATATGTAATAATAATTTTTTAATACTCATTTGAATTCTTCTGTGATTTTTTCATAATAATTGAGATAAAACTAACATTATAAAATTATACCATAATATATGTAGATGAGCGTCTTCTATATACATATTTGAAAAACCGAAATATTCAATATTTTGCAAGAAAGAGATTTAAGATATAATTCAATCAATATAATTACTAAATGATTGGTTTTAATACTGTTATTAGTAATGAATTAAGTTAGTAAGCATATATTTTCAATTAATTCTATTACAGATCAGTCTCATCTTAGTTCACAGCTCGTTTATCCATACTTATACTTTCACTGAGAATCGTTGTAATTACTGAACAAGGTCTCTCACGAGCGATCTGCTTTAGGAAAGCTCTCAGTGACCTCAGATCCTACTTCATTGATATTAAATAATATATATTCTATTGATTTATATCAATACGTTGTTATTTGTATTTAAATATCAATAATTTATTTAAAGAAATGCAAACGAGAAGTCGATTGATTCTTTGGTAAATAATAAATATATACTGTCACTTATGGACCTTTAAAGAAAAAACAGTAATATTGGGGGAAGTTACAGAGTTATACTAATCAGGACTCGCTTTAAGTCTTCCAGGTCACTTGTCTCACAGACGCTTGAGTTTTCCGTCAGAGGGCGACACTGTCAGGACACACGAACACTCACATGAGATACAGAACAATGACTAGGGAAAGGTTATGTAACTTATTAAAAGGGGGTTATAAATTGTTTGGTTGTTGAAGACGTTATAATAAATTGATTTTATTAAACATACTTATGAACAATATAAACTAAGGAATGAAAATTTACATACCATATAGATTGAATAAATCTATCTGAAACTTATAATTTAAAATAATTGAATTCTAAATTATTGTTTATTAATCGATAATTAAAACGACGATAATTAATAGTTAACTATCATTCCAGTAAATCAAAATGATGAGTGAATGAATTTGTTAAAACAATATCCATAGGTATATGAGGTGTATCCGAAACTAGGAGACCTGTGAGACCATAATATGACTTCCAAGTCATCTTAGTTAAAGTAGAAACCTTAAATGTGTAGTGTTAGTCACTACACTACATTGTTATGTTTCAATACTTTCCGATACTCTCTATATAATCAAGCGTCTTATATTTGAAATATGAAAATGATTGTGTAACAGCGTATGTGACTTAAACTGTCAATATCAAAATCAGTATTGCTTTAAACATATCTTTATTAGTAGTAACGATTATGGCACAAGGTAATCTGTAATTTCTAACGTACGTTAGTAAGAAGAAATAATTATAAAACGATCTCAATTTTTTTCCATCCTTTTAAACTTAGCCAGACGGTTGAAAGAAGTAAGAAAAGAAAAGTAATTATTATAATTTTTCAAGAATTGTCAAAAGATCATCCCTTATATATTGTCATTAGTTTTTATTTAAATAGACAAGGTTTTTCTATGAAATTATATGTTAGCTCAAAAAAGTGTCCAAAAAGTTTCTTTGACCATTTCATTAAAGTATAGAAAAAACTTATGTTTTGTTTGTTTACTTCTCAACCTAAAACATAAGACAATTTTTATAAATGATTTTATTGCCGCGACCTACGAGTACGTTCAGAAGTTCTTCCTGATGAGAGTTGATCTTTGTTATAATTGCAAAATAATTCAAGAAACTCTATTCTTCACTTGACTACTCTTTTAATCGAGATGTCCTTATCTTATACACTTAATATATTTCATTATTTTGTCATAAAGAAATGATCGAAATTTAAGTTCATTCGGAACCCTTTTTTTCCAGGTAACTATTGGGGGACCACACTTTTTATTTTTTATCGTCTTTCCTACTCCTAACAATTTAGTTAATTTTTGTTACTTTCAATTTAGAGTAACTTAAATCGTACATTGCATATCTTCGTAACGAACAACAAGACCATAGCCTCATTACGTCAGCACTGTATTCATTCACGTTTTCTAAACAAATCCTGCACATTGGCACAAAAGAGCTAGAAGGAACTTATTCTTAGGACATTAGAAAAATATATGAAAAGCTACAGGCTCCTTAACATCAAGATAATAAGCACTCATCGAAATAATATTATGGAAATTGAGTTAATATCAAAATACTTTCGACATGACTGAAGCTAAGACGTGCACACCTGTTAAAAATCATACAATTTGAGACGAGACCTATATGGACACATAAGTATTTCTGACCAATACACCAACGACAGCAATCTTAAATATGCCAAAAAAAAACTAAACAAACAGAAAAAATTAAGAAGTCCAAAAAGAATTGGTTTTTAAATAAGTGTAGAAACTATTGATGTAGCAAGTGTAACATTTTAAAAATGGAAAGGCTATAATTGATTAAAACAATGTTGTCGAAGTCTCCACAAAAAGGTGGATGAAAGTTTGCAAGAGTTTAATTTAAAAATACATAACCTGGCTGTCTATAACTAAAACTAAGAAAACTTATTTAGCAGCGTATTTGTGACTCTTTTGTTTCCTCAACATATGCAATTAACCTGTTACCCTATATTTAAAGATAAAAGATTTTAAATACGAAAAACAAAAACTTCAAAATTCATTACCGCATTATTTATTTACAAAAATAAATTACTCAATCTTTAACAAAAATAAAGACGGTAACATAGTAATGTTTTGGTTTAACTGGACTCGTCGGAATCCTTAAAATATAAATAACAGTAAGGCACAGATAGAATTAAAGTTAAATATACACACACTCGGTATCCATTAACATTGCTTGTCGTCATTTAGAATAAGGACTATTTACAGATCAGTTAGAGGAAGGGAAGAAGATCCTTCTCTCTATCAAATAAAGATAAACAATCATCTTAAACAAGCCCTCTTTACATTAAGTCTTCTAATAAGGTCCGTTGTTATAATCGTTGTTGTAATCCGCTTGTCTGTTACTGTCGTAGCCTGATCCGGCGCCGACGTCCTCGTATGAGATTCTGGGCTTGAAACCGTCCTGGTCGGCTTCATATTCAACGGTCTGGTGACAAATAATTCATTTCATAAGTCATTCTCATGATCTCTATTGAGTTCATAAAAACACCACATCCTCCTACTGTATATTACCTGTTTCCTTCCATCAGGTAAGAGGACGTAGTAGACTCCCTCAGCGCGGTCCCCTCGTCGTGACTCTCGGTGACCGAAGTCGTTGCCGGAGGGAGCGTCCTGGACCATGTATTCGAAGTCGTAGTTCGCAGGCTCCTGTTAGTGAAGATTATTATTATTAAAAGGACTTAAAAATAATACTTGAACGAAGAGTATTTATAATACGAGGAAATAAAAAGAGATGTGGTCATAAAAAAATATATATGTTAGATAATGAGTATTGTATTATTTCAACTTACCCCATTGCTTCCATCATCATATCCACGAGCACTGGGAGGGAGGTACTGTCTGCTTTGTTGGTTGTCATATTTGTTGTCACTACCACCTTGAAAGAGTTTTATATATTAGAATTTAAATATAGTACGAAACACATGCATGGATTCAAACTTTGAGAATTATATAATTAAAATCTCAAATACAACATACTTCGTTCAAATCCAGGAGCTCCATATTCTTGAGAGGGACCATTGGATCCAGCCTGATCTGGTGCACCGTATTGAGTGGAAGGTGCTTGGTATTGGTTTACAGGTGGCAAGTATTGTGCCTTTGGTGCTTGGTATTGGCTCGGAGCTGGGTGTTGATTCCCAGAAGCTTGATACTGGTTGGTTGGGGGTGAGTATTGACCGGTGGGTGCTTGCTTTTGTCCTTGATATTGGTTGTTCGGTGCTCCATACTGAGAGGAAGGAGTTTTGGGTAGTCCGTATTGAGAGTTTGGTTTCCGGATACTTGCAGGTGGTCCGTAGGCAGATGAAGGACGTCCTCTGTAATATAATATCGAATTTTATACAAGACTTTTTATATTAAGTAATTATTTATATTTAAAAGCATTACGTTCATGTTGCAAAGTTAATTATAAAGAAAATCGATCTAATCAATTTTGATTTGTTTTTTTTACCTGAAGACAGCTTCAGTCTGTCTCTGACTGAATCCGGGAACACCATAACTCTGAGAGGGAGAAGCGTTCCTCGCTTGTGGAGGAAGATACCTGAACATATTATTAATATTGTTAATATATTTGAATATATTAAATAAGTAAGGAATATTTTAGAAAAACATATATGCCAAATATTTTTAAATTGTCCTTTTCTAATATACATTAATTTTATTGTTACCTGTTATTAACTGGTGGCTCTGCCAAGCACGACACCACAAGTAACGAACACACTATGAAACACTGAAAACAATATGACATTAGAACATATATTACAAATAAAATAATTAATAATATTATTGTTGATTAAACGTCACACCTTCATTTTGTTAAATGAATCCTTGATTTCGTGAACTTGTCCGTTCTTTTAATATATGATTAGTTATTGTTAGTGCAGCTGTTACTAGATATGTTGTTGTGTGTTCAATGATGCTGGACGATGTATCGATCGTCTTATATACTCCTCGATCTGTTCATACTTTTAAGATGAACGTCTTGAATTGTAGCAACTGACTGATGTGTACTCGACCTATATATCTAAAAATAATAAATATTTTAATTTAAGTATTTATTTAAAACACACACATTAGGTTCATTCACATTGGTTTATAGCAAATTTCAGGAAAGAAAAGCTAATGATATTTTAAGCCTGCTTATTACTACGAAACAAAGTATTTTCTTTACAATAGAGTACGCTTCAGTCGTGACCAACACAACCTAACGACCGCGAGGTGTGCTCTACTTAAACATCTCTTAATTTCAAGGACATTTCTTCAACAAATACGTGGTTAGATAAGAGTTCATGTTTTAATTACAGTTAATTCGACATATTGTGAAAGAAACTTCCTTTTACTTATACATATAATGAAAGAAAAGTCAAAGACAATAATGTTGAAATCATAAATTCGTTAACATATCCATTGTATCATTGTATGTGTGTTATATAAATGTTAAAACCTCGTTTATTGCGTTTGATTGATCTAATATATTTTGTGTTATCAAAAATAAATACAATAAAGTAAGGATTTCAATTGAACTTGATAGAATTATGAGCGATCTTTAATTAATTATTAATAAATGGAGCCAATTTAAAAGCATTGCATTTTTATTTGATGCGTGATGTTTTAGAAGGTAAGTTTTATTCATCAGTGTTGTGAATTGTATTTATAATAATCTATGTCCATATCGTGTACATTCCAAACTCATACAAATATATTATTGCTACCAATAGTAATGACAGAGCAAGGTCTACTGGAAGCTTGAGAGAAGTTTCATTCTATGGCTCAATACACTTTACATTAGTTTACTTAATACTCTCTGTGATTATACAAGTATGTAACAGACACTAAACTAGCAAGTGAAATGTTATGTCTTTCAAAAACTAAGAACGATCCTTGCTGAATAATCAAAAACGAATACGAATAATTACTATCGCATTTCAAGAGAACTACTCGTATAATATTCAAGAAAAATGGAAAATATATAATAATGATACAAATAATTATTTACCTGTATATAGTCGAGTATTTTGATTTTTTTTTCATCCCAATAAATAGAAGCACTCATTTTTACTCGCAAAGAATACTTTACTCGCATGATGTGACAAGAGGTGGATTTAAACTACATATTCCTAGTTTATTAAAGATTCTTCACCATTATTTGGTGATTATTTGAGTGAAAAGACTGTGCTGTAAATGAGGAACAAAAACGCTTATTAAATGTGTCACATAAATTTCTATCCACCTCCTCGTGTAAAAAATACAAAAAGATAGATAAAATAGTGGAAGGGTGGAAAAATATTAATGAGAATTGTTTTCAAAACACAATAATTTAAATTACCTTTTATATGATATAAGTTTGAATGAAAATCAGAATAAAACTTAAAACTAAAAACAAACTGTATTTATTTATATCAAAAATATTTTTTATGAAGAATATTTGACAGCAATAGAATAGTCAAATGAATGTCATCACTGTCAACCAATATCAAATGGACTGTATGTTTTTAATTAAGCGCGTATGAATTCAATTCGTGTCTTTATTTTGATCTCCTTTTGATGGTAGAGAATATATAATAATTATATTTCAATACTCATTTGAATTCTTCTGTGATTTATTGATAATAATTGAGACAAAACTCACTTTATAAAATCATACCATAATATGTATAAATGAGCGTCTTCCATATATGTCATTAAAAAAACGAAATATTGAATGTTTTGCAAGAAAGAGAATTAAGATATAATTGAATCAATGTAATTACTAAATTATTAGTTTAAATACTGTTATTAGTAATTATGTTAGTTATAAAGTATATTCAATTAATTCTATTACAGATCAGTCTCATCTTAGTTCACAGCTCGTTTATCCATACTTATACTTTCACTGAGAATCGTTGTAATTACTGAACAAGGTCTCTCACGAGCGATCTGCTTTAGGAAAGCTCTCAGTGACCTTAGATCCTACTTCATTGATATTAAATAATATATATTCTATTGATTTATAACAATACATTGTTATTTGTATTTTAATATCAATAATTTACTTAAAGAAATGCAAACGTGTAGTCGATTTAAAATAATTGAATTCTAAATTATTGTTTATTAATCGATAATTAAAACGACGATAATTAATAGTTAACTATCATTCCAGTAAATCAAAATGATGAGTGAATGAATTTGTCAAAATAATATCCATAGGTATATGAGGTGTATCCGAAACTAGGAGACCTGTTAGACCATAATATGACTTCCAAGTCGTCTTGGTTAAAGTAGAAACCTTGTATGTGTAGGGTTAGACACTACACTACATTGTAATGTTTCGATACTTTCCGATACTCTGTATATAATCAATTGTCTTATATTTGAAATATGAAAATGATTGTGTAACAGTGTATGTGACGAAAACTGTCAATATCAAAATCAGTATTGCTTTAAACATATCTTTATTAGTAGTAACGATTATGGTACAAGGTAATCTGTAATTTCTAACGTACGTTAGTAAGAATAAATAATTATAAAACGATTTTTTATTTCTTTCCATTCTTTTAAACTTAGCCACACGGTTGAAAAAAGTAAGAGAAGGAAAAGTAATTTTTATAATTTTTCAAGAATTGTCAAAAGATCATCCCTTACATTTTGTCATTAGTTTTTATTTAAATAGACAAGGTTTTTCTATCAAATTATATAGTAGATCAAAAAAGTGTCCTAAAAGTTTCAGTGACCATTTAATTAAAGTATAGAAAAATCTTATGTTTTGTTTGTTTACTTCTCAACATAAGACATAAGACAATTTTAATAAATGATTTTGATGCCGCGACCTACGAGTACGTTCAGAAGTTTTTCTTGATGACAGTTGATCCTTACTATAAGGGCAAAATAATTCAAGAGACTTCCATTCTTCACTTTACTACTACTCTTTTAATCGAGATGTCCTTATCTTATACACTTAATATATTTCGTAATTTGTTCATAAAGAAATGATCGAAGTTGAAGTTCATTCGAACCCTTTTATTCCGGGTAACTATTTGGAGACCACACTTTTATTTTTTATCATCTCTTAATATAAGAAGATATAGTCTATCCTCCTTCCTACTCTAACAATTTAGTTATTTTTTGTTGCTTTCAATTCAGAATAAATTTAATCGTACATTACATATCTTCGTAACGAACAACAAGACCGTAGCCTCATTACGTCAGCACTGTATTCATTCACGTTTAATAAATAAATCCTATAAAATGGGACAAAAAAGTGAGAAACAAACTTATTCAAAGGATATACGATACATATATGAAAAGCTACAGGCTCCTTAACATCAAGATAATAAGCACTAATCGAAATAATATTATGGAAATTGAGTTAATATCAAAATACTTTCGACATGACTGAAGCTAAGACCTGCATACTTGTTAAAAATCATACAATTTGAGACGAGACCTATGAGGACACATAAGTATTTCTGACTAATTCTACACCAATAACAATAATCTTGAATATGCGAAACAAACTAAACAATCTGAAAAAGTAAAGAAGTCCAAAAAGAATTGTTTTTTAAATAAGTGTAGAAACTATTGATGTAGCATAGCAAGTCTAATATTTTAAAAATTGGAAAGGCTATAATTGATTAAAACAATGTTGTCGAGGTCTGTACAAAAAGGTAGATGAGAGTTTGCAAGAGTTTTATTTAAAAATACAAAACCTGGCTGTCTATAAGTAAAACTAAGAAAACTTTTTTAGCAGCGTTTTTATGGCTCTTTTGTTTCCTCAACATATGTAATTAACCTGTTACCTTATATTAAAATAAAAAAGATTTTAGTTACGAAAAACACAAACTTCAAAGTTCATTACCGCATTATTTATTTACAAAAATACATTACTCAATCTTTAACAAAAATAAAGACGGTAACATAGAAATTTTTTGGTATAACTGGACTCGTCAAAGTCCTTAAAATATAAATAACAGTAAGGCACAGATAGAATTAAAGTTAAATATA